GTGATACAATATTTGAACTCACCTATCAATGTGTCGAAACAAAAGAGCAACTTTAGGAATCATTCTCCAACAATGTTAGCAATATGAAAAATATATCATAAAATTTATTATGAAGATTTTTTATTTCTTCATTAGTGTGTAGTGTTTTATTATATGAATAATCTAAAAGTGGAGAATTTTTCATGATCATTTTTATAATATTTTTTTCATGATCCCTAATATTACACACCATTCTCTCATTGCCTAAGGAACAGAACCATGATACTCCTGCCAATGTGGAGTTGATAGAAGATGAGACCACAAAGAAAGATGAAACCTGAGAGAGTAATTTATATAAAAATTGGGCTGAGCTGGGTAATGGGCCATCATGAGCCGCAATACAAAGGGCTGAGTAAAAAAGCTTTAAAGTTAGTCCGGTCCAAGAGCCCCGAAGCTAGTCCGGCCCGGAGGAGACTTGATGTTAGTCCGGTCTAAAGACACTTTGAAGTTAGTCCGGTCATGGCGTATCTTGGTTAGAACGGTCAGAACCTTACTATTCGGTAGCTCGGTCTGATCACACCATGGTGTGTACATGAGAGAACCGAGATAAGGTATAGCGAAAGGAAGAACCGAACTAAGGATAGTTCGGCCTACTCTGCGGCTCAGCATAACCATGATTACTTCGGTCATATTGGAGTTCGGCCATGATAAAAACCATCTCACTTGGTTTAAGCAGTGAGGGGTGTTGAAGGATAAGCATTATCTTTCAGGAGTATGAATCCTAGGAGGACTCTGCATGGAGGAGTAGAAATCCTACTAGGATTGTGCCACACGAAACCTATAAAAGTTCACAAACATCACCTTTAGAGAGGTAACACAACTTTGCTTTCTGAATACACAGAGCTTTTGTCTATTTGTCAAGCTTACTGACTTAGGCATCGGAGAGGTTTCCGGCACACACCCACCGGCTAGCTCACATTTGTGTTTTCAGGTGATAAAGCAACGACGTACGGAGGAGCGCAAACTTGATCAACAAGATTATACGAGAAAATTTATTTCTTTCCCGTGTAAAACCTAACTGAATGAGATGAAACGCAACAGAAGTTTTAGATTTTTCATATTTTGGTAATCGCCAAGTCAAAATTTTAATTTATTTTCAAGTAGCCGTTGTTTAGATGCAGAAATGTTTAGGCTCTTTGGTTTTCAGAATTTGTTTCTTGGGGGGTGGGGGGGGGGAACTTTTTTCCGTGAACAAATTGAAATGAAAAAAATAAAAAATAAAAAAATCATGGGTTTCATACGGTTTTATCGTTTTTTAGGGCAAAAATAATTTCTAAAACTTCAAAAACATATTTTTAGTGTTTATTTTTGTTAAACAAATTTATATATTTAAAAAAAAAAAAACGAAAACTGATTCTGAAATTGAAAACAGAGCATTAGTAACTGTTGTATACTAAAAGGGCGATTATCCAAGCAAGCCAAGCCAGAGTTCATCTTCTTGATACAGAACCTTTGGGTGTATCCAACCAATTTATACTTAATTGCTTATTTTGCTACTCTCTTTTTGTTTCAGTGCTCTTCTCAAACATGTTGCATATGAAGTGAATACAGCATAGAAGTAAGCTGTGTTTTGTGCCTATAATCTGTACCGACCTTTGTAATTCTTCACTGCTTCCATCTTCACTCTTTGATGGTTGTGTACTGATTTTTCGGATTACACTTGCCCGTCGACCAGCATTTTGCTGATGGCCAAAAATTCATTGTTGGAGCATTAGATATTAGATATAGGAATTTCTCAAATTTTTATTCAGATTTGGTGAAATATTTGATACACCGTTACAGATGCCCTTAGAAATGCAAGAGAATTGGTTAAAAAATGTTAGATTAGTATACTTTTTATTTTTTTAATTTATAAAAAATATAAAATGTGAATTAAGATTGAAGTAATATAGTAGAGAGATGATATGACACAAATAAAATAATTGTGATTCAAATAAGATAATGTAAGAAACTCCAAATCTAAAAATATTTCTTTTGAAAACAAATAAATTATATAAGTTCATTTAGTGACTTTTGTTTTAAATTATGTTAAATCTTTTTATGTTTTCGATCTATCTTGCGTAGATGAATTAAAAAAATAAAAAAATAAATTGAAAACACCAAAATAAGTAAATCCTGGACACCATAACTTAAACATTATTGGACAAATTATAAATAAGTGGAACATTTATAAATTAATTACATTAATGTGTAATTCTAACACACATGAAAGACTAACACCAAGCAAATAAACTTGTAACCATACGCATAAAACACTTCAACATTGTAAAAATAAAAATATTTTTTCATTACTTGACTAAAATGCAATTTTTCAATAATATTATTGGTGAAAATAATGTACCCACCATTTTTATGTTTTTATTTTTATTTTTATAAAACAACACAATACATATATAACAATTAGTGGTGTAGTGGTGTAGAGCAATGTCCCTCCTTTTCGTTTGTTCTTACACATTTCGTTTGTTCTTACACATTCTTTTGACAATTTATTAGTTAAAAAAAAAAATATATCTATTTTGCTAAATAAATTTTTTAAAAAATCATTCATTTAGGTATGCTTAGAGGTGGTTTAGAGTTGACTTTTTAGTAGTTTATAATTTTTTTAAAACTTTTTTTTTAGAATCTAAAACTATTTGCATTTAGTAAAGTTGAGTATTTTTTAATATTTTAGTAAGTGAGAAAATTGAGTGATTTTTTATATTTTTTAAAATTTCTGATAAAGAATTTTTTTTGAATTTTTCGGCAATATGAGATTTTAGTTTAAAAATTAAAAATTTACTAAAAAATTTAAAAAGTCAACAAATATCAAAAAAATCAAATATCTATATTCACTCTATTTTTTGTATATCTTTTTCATAAAAATTTTAAAAATCATTCTAATCATATTAATTTTTTTCATCTCATATTTTAGTTTAAAAAAAATAAAAAGTCACTAAAAAAAAATTTATTCTCAAACGATCCTGAATTAGCTAAAAAAAACTTTGGAATATGCAAAAAAACAAGTAACTTTTTTTATTTTTTTTATCAGTTTGTTTTTATCCAATAAATTATTTTTAACTAAAAAAGTGATAAAGTTAAAAAGTTAAAAAATCTATTTATTATCAATGATTTGTTTTTTCAAAAAAATAATTCAATTTTCCATTTACACAAAATAATTTTAAGGAGTATTTGCGAATTGACTACTTTAATTTATTTTTTAATTTTTTATAAAAAAATTTAAAAATAAAATAGAAAAATAATGTGATAATTTTTAGTATTTTTTTTAAGGGCTTAAAAAGTGAAATATATATAAAAAAAATTAAAAAATAAAAAGGTTAATGCTAAAATTTGTTTTGAGAAGTAAGTTAAAAGTTAACTTTTTAATTTTTTTTAAAAATTATATAAAAATATAAAAAAGTGATATGACTAAAAAAATATTAAGGCCTCATTTGGTAACATACTTTTTAACTTAAGAGTCAAAAAGTTACAAAAAAAAATTTAAAAAGTCAATAATCTATATAAAAAAGTCAAAAAAAAATCTCTCTACTTTTTATATATCTTTTGGTAAAAAATTAAAAAATCATTTCAAACATATTAAATTTTTTTATACCATATTTTAGCAAAAAAATTAAAAAATTATTAAAAAAATACTAAAACGCTTAAAAAACGATTTTTAGGTGGTATTTGGTTTTCATTTTTGGCTAAATAATTACAAAATGACAAAAAAAGTCAAAAAAATATAAAAAAGTGATATGACTAAAAAAATATTAAGGCCTCATTTGGTAACATACTTTTTAACTTAAGAGTCAAAAAGTTACAAAAAAAAATTTAAAAAGTCAATAATCTATATAAAAAAGTCAAAAAAAAATCTCTCTACTTTTTATATATCTTTTGGTAAAAAATTAAAAAATCATTTCAAACATATTAAATTTTTTTATACCATATTTTAGCAAAAAAATTAAAAAATTATTAAAAAATACTAAAACGCTTAAAAAACGATTTTTAGGTGGTATTTGGTTTTCATTTTTGGCTAAATAATCACAAAATGACAAAAAAAGTCAAAAAATTACAAAAAGACATAAAAAAATCTATCATTCTAAAGCTAAAAAGCCAATAAAAAATATCAAACAAACAAAAAAATTTCAAACTAAAAAATTTATAAAATTAAAAATTTAACTAAAAAAATCATTGTCAAACGAATGCTCAACCGAGTTGCCGAAATAAGGTTAAGGCCTCGTTTAGAAACAGACTATTTTAGTAATTCTTTGACTTTTTATAAAAAGATGTACAAAAAAATAGAAAAGTAATGTGACTAATTTTAATTAACTTTTTGACTTTTTGAATAAAATAGTCACTCTCCAAACGAGACCTAAGCACACTTATCTCTCAAACTTTTATTAGAGGACATTAGAGTAATTTCACTCTCACTCTTAGAAGGACGACGTCTCATCGGCAACGCCGACAGTCCCAATGTCCCAATCAACCAAACTAAAAGGCCAAGCCAGCGTCACCGCCAACAGCAACCGGTGTGAACATCAGCACCATTCCTACCAGTGGGTGGGTCCCAACTTAAAAACCAACACTATCCTCTTCTCTCTTTAATTTTTAGTTAAATTACAAATACTCTTTCGAGATTTATTGAAAATATAAATTTTCTCTTAAGATTTGAGAAATTACATTTCATTCTTTGAGGTTTATATTTTTATAATAAATTGTTCCTTAAAATTTTTATTTTCATACAGACTCTCCCTTAATTACTCTTTTGTTATGAAAATTTGATCTTTAAGAGACAATTTGTAATTTTTCAAATCTTAAAGAGAATCTATATTTTTGTCAAACTTGGAAGGGGGTATTTGTAATTTGCCCTTAATTTTTTGTGTTTTTTCATGGTCCGTCACCTTGGTTGACTTCCCAATCTCGTCACTCTAGCCTTACCTCAAAACAAAAAAAAAAGCCACCAAACAAACCAAATCCACTTTTCTATATATACCTCAATCCTATCTATTATTCATTCCTCTTCTCTAAAATCCACCATTAATCCCAACCTCCAAAGCTCTCTTCACCTTCCATTGTTCTTTCACCAACACAATTTCTTCAACCAAGATCATATAAACCCAAAATGGAGAGGATCAAGATTCAATTTTGATCAGTCTCTGTTCTCACTCTTACCATGAAAGTTTCTTGAACCCAGTCTCTATCTTCACATATAGATAGATATTTGAGCTTTGAGCTTTGAGCTTTGAGCTTTGTGCTTTGCTTGTGGTGTCAGCAATGGTTTCTCTGCAAGATTCTCACTCCAATTCAAGTTGCTTTCCCACAACGCGACCCTTCTACAGTCCATCTTCTCTCTCCTCCACCAGGATTCAGAGGTCTCTGGGCCGGTCCATGCGAACCATCCGGTCCAACTTCTATAAAACCGACCATAGCTACTCCTTCCCCGGCTCGACCGTCGATAAGTCGGTCTCCGAGAACCTCACCGACTCCGTCATCGACATGCGACTCGGCGAACTCGCCGCTCGGCCTAGTAACTCGGCGAAGTCCTCTTCCTCGTCTTCTGACGAATTCCTCGATCTCTCTCAAGCCTTCAGCGAGTACTCGGCTTGTAGCAGTGATATCTCCGGCGAGTTACAGCGACTCGCCACGATTCCGATTTCGGAAATCAAACCGGATCCGAACCCGGAACCCGAGATAGAGCCATGTACCGGTTTTCTTGAACGCGAAACGTTCTCTACCGAGATTATCGAGAGTATATCGCCGGAGGATCTCCAACCGACGGTCAAGATCTGCATCGACGGTCTCCAATCGCCGTCGATCGCCGTGAAACGGTCCGCCGCCGCGAAACTCAGACTCCTCGCGAAAAACCGGTCCGACAACCGCGCTCTGATCGGGGAATCCGGGGCGGTTCCGGCTTTAATCCCTCTGCTAAAATGCACCGATCCGTGGACTCAAGAACACGCGGTGACAGCTTTATTGAATCTCTCTCTCCACGAAGAGAACAAGCCTCTGATCACCAATGCCGGAGCAATTAAATCCCTAATTTACGTACTGAAAACGGGGACCGAGGTTTCGAAGCAGAACGCTGCTTGCGCTCTGCTCAATTTGTCTTTGATCGATGATAACAAGATGTCGATCGGAGCGTGCGGAGCGATTCCACCCCTGGTTTCGCTGCTGATAAACGGGTCGAATCGGGGGAAGAAGGACGCATTGACAACGCTTTATAAGTTGTGTAATGTGAAGGTGAATAAGGAGAGGGCGGTGAAGGCGGGAGCGGTGAGGCCGCTGGTGGGGCTGGTGGCGGAGCAAGGAATTGGGATGGCGGAGAAGGCCACGGTGGTGTTGAGTAGCTTGGCGGTGATTGAGGAAGGGAGGGAGGGGATTGTGGAGGAAGGTGGGATTCCTGCTCTTGTTGAGGCGATTGAAGATGGGTCCACCAAGGGGAAGGAGTTTGCTGTGTTGACATTGTTGCAGTTGTGTGGGGATAGTGTGAGGAATAGGGGTTTGCTTGTTAGGGAAGGTGGAATTCCCCCCTTGGCCGCTCTTTCGCAGACCGGGACTGCTAAAGCCAAGCACAAGGTGACATTTTTATTGATTTTGAACTTCTGATACCGATACTGATACATGTCTCGATACTGTTATTTATATGAATGATTATGTGTTTGTTGCTTGCTTATATTAGCTTGATTATGGAGTTGATTGGGTTACTTTGCATTATCATTTGGTAGTTTTTCAAATGGAGTGTCTAGTGTCTACCATCTTCAAGTGAGTATTGTGTGCTAGATTAGAGTGTTAAGTTTTTGGTAACTTGTGAAATTGAAATTCTTGTTTGGATCTTGAATTTGTGAAGGGAAAGGGGAGTAGAAGAAACTAATTTTTTTTTTTTTACTTTTATTTTTGGTAATCAATTATACTTTCTTATGTTTCTTGCCTATGTTACCTTAATTATGGAGTTGGGGTTAGCTTAATTTGCATCATCATTTGGTGGTTTCAAATGGGTGTCTTTCAAGTGAGTTTTGTATGCTATATTATAGTGTCAAGTGTGCTGACTTGTGAATTGAAAATCAATTAGACTGTCCTTTGTTTGGATCTAGAATTTTGATTAGGAAATTTGAATGAAAACAAATATATATTAGTGAGAAAGATAGAACTTTGATAATTACCAATAAGTAATAAAATATGTACAAGTAATTTAATTTTTCTTAAATTTTTTGTTTATCTTGGCAAATTCAAGATCTAAGCATAGTTTGCTTGGCTCAAAAATGGCAATTATGCCATTTTGAAATTATTGTACTTACTAATTGAATTATTAGACGTGTTAGGCGGTAAGGAGGAGGTAAAATATCTATCAATTTTACTCTCGGTCATGAAACTTTAAATTTGTTCATTTCTTGTGAAACATCGAATTATTTCACAATTGATTATGAAATATACTTTGTTTGATGGCGGCATACAAATTTGCAGTATTTCTTTTACTTATTTCGAAATACCAAACAAATTTATTGATTCATTCCGATTAAAAGTCTGAATGGTGGTTAGTCATAGCTGTCTTTGACTGTCTATTAACCAAATATGGAAATAGCAATTAATGATAACATGTTGTACTCTTTTGTATAATTTTGATCTATTGGCTGCATCTATGTTCAAATTTAAGACTATCTATATATCAGTAGATAATAATCGTATTGCCAGTATTTGATATGTATTTTGATACCGTTCTTTAATGGTTATTTGGTTGGTTTTGTAGGCAGAGACTTTGCTTAGGTACTTGAGGGAACCGAGACAAGAAGCTTCTACGTCGAGTCCTTGAAGAGAGGTAATCTCATATGAGATGGTTAGGCTCTAATATTTAAGTATACTAGGAAGTGTTTTGGTTGTTGTTTGTATATAGGATATATTTTTGATGGTTTGTACAGAAGGGTTGAGAAATTTGGAAGTTTGTGTTAAAAGAATTAATAATTTAGTGGAAAGCTAGTGAAAGTTTGTGTTTAAAGAAGTGATAAATTAGTGGATGGAAGCTAGGGAGGAGAAGAAGCTGACCTTTTTGATTAGTTGTTTGGTTGTTGACTAGCCTAGGGTTTCTTGGGGGTTTTCGTTTTTCTCTTGCTTGACTATTATTTTTTTTGTTGGAAGGAGAGAGAGAGAGAAAAAAAAGAGTGGGTTTGGGGTTGTTGATGAGATGATTTGGGTTAGGTTTTGTTTGGATGGACCCAAATTCTTCTTGTAAAAAAGATTTCTAATGGTTTGCCAATAATACTTGTTTGTGGCTGATATCCAGAGATGATTTTTGAGAAAAAATCTCAAAAATTTGTTTGGTTAAAAATTTTTGAAAAATAAAAAAATTTAAAATTACCTCTCGTTCTATTGTACATTAATCAATCATTTCTTTTTGCCAGCTCTTTTTCTTACACTCTACACATTTTTTCTATGCCTTCTCTTTCTCTCACATCATACACATTAATCAATTATTTTTTCTTATATTCTTCTATTCAACTATAAAAATAAAAAAAATAAAAAAATAAAAAAATAAATTAAATTAAATCATTTCAAACTCTAAAATTGTTCTCAAAATATATAATTAAATAAAGTTTTAAATTTTAAAAAGTCTTTCTAGAATACTTTCAAAATTGTTTTACAAATACAAATCATGCATGACTATAATTTTTGTGTTTGTGTTTTGTTGATGTTTTCTTTTTGGGTTGATGAAGATTTGGGTTATGTTTTGTATGGATAATCCAAATTTTGCTGGAAAAAAATGCGGCTTAATTACACTTTGCCGCCTCTACTATTGTTGATTTATCATTTTACCCCTCAACTTTAGAACTGAACATTTGGGTCCTTAACTATAAAAAAAATATCATACAAATCACTCTCTCCGGAGGAGTGAAAATGAATAAATTTTGATAGCTAAGTGTAATATTATATTTGATTTTTCTTTTTTGTGGTTTTTGAGTGGCCCTCATGTGAGATGGAGTGCCACTTACGGATTCTGTTAATTAGATGGTGTTTGGGTGGGTGTGGTGTAAACTATGAAGGGGGTGACCGCATATATATTAGAGGGCTGGATGGACAGAGACCTTATATATATTTAAATTTTTACCAAAGTTTTTACATTATTTTGTATAATTTCTGTGTATTTTATGATTACTGTTTTTTAAAGTCAAGATATGTTACCGTGAGATGTTAACCTATAGAAAGTAAGACTGCAAGGGTAAATAATAATATTAAGAATACAAAATTTGGTCACATAAAATGTGAGAGAAGGCTAGAATTAAATTCAATTATGGAGGTGTCTATATTCATAAATCTGTAAATTTTGACGGAGATTGGCCTCGTTTGGGAATATGGTAATTTAGTAATTTTTTGGTTATTTAGTTAAAATATGAGCTAAAAAAAATTAGTATGTTTGGGATCACTTTTTAGTTTTTTATGAAAAGATGTGCAAAAAATAGAGAGAAAAGAGAATCTTTGACTTTTTAGTATGAATTGTTGACTTTTTGATTTTTTTAGTGATTTTTTTGACTAAAATAGCCAGACTAAATATTATATCTGTAAATTTTGATGGAGGCTAAATTCAAATGTTTAAATAGAGACTAAATATTAAATGTTAGGAGATAGATTTGAACTCAAGATTTCTTTTTTGATATTATCTCAAAAGTTTAAATTATTAAAGAATGAATTTAACAATATATGTCAAGTTATTTAACAGTTTCACGAGACGTGTATCACAAATTAACGGAGTATTGGTTCATTATGTTTGGCCAAGAAAGAAAGAGTACAAATATGATGATGGCATGGACCATTGTAGGGTCTTTTGAACCTGCCAGTCTTTGGCGTAAAGTAATTTCATCATCCGCCAGTTGTGTTTTTGTGTCCTATCAAGGCATGCATGCGTAAGAATGCACTATTCACTTCATTTTTAAACAAATTTTCAAAATATAAATTAGTTTCGAACTTTACTTTTCTCAAACTTGAGTTGTTTTTCAAAATTATGTTTTCAAAACACGGCTTTTAAATTTGAAGTTAAAAAAAAAAAAAAAAAAAAAATTCAACAAATCACGTGCTGCCACATCAGCTGGGGTCACTGGGGGTCTTCAAAATTGGGGGTGCAAATCATTTTTCATTTTCAAAATATAAATTAGTTTCGAACTTTACTTTTCTCAAACTTGAGTTGTTTTTCAAAATTATGTTTTCAAAACACGGCTTTTAAATTTGAAGTTGTATTCATGATTTCTAAAAATTTTAGTGTTAATTATGCCAAAATTCTTTGGCTATTGGTGAACATTAAGTTACTCCATTTATGAATATGTATATTTTTATTTCTTCAATTATACTAGTAAAAAGTTGTATAAATATGTCTTCATATATGAGAGATAAGTTGATATTCACAAATAGTTAAGGAAGATTCAATGAAATTGTATATCATTACTCTACGTTGAAATTATGTTTCTTTAAAAAAAAATATATATATATATATATTATACTAAGAGTAATAAATTCAAAACAAGAATCTGTTTCAGAAAACAATATGCAAAGATATATATGTCATGGAGGCAGAGCCAGCCAGCAGACAGCCAATCCAACAACCAACCCCACCCCACCAGAGGATGATGCAAGGAGTTGGTATATATGGGCTGCATATATCTTTTATCTCTCTCTTTCTTTCCTTTTTGTCTTTAATAATTAATATATTATTATTATTACAACAATGATTCATACCATTAAAAAAAGATTTCTAATAGTACTAAAGCATTGAGAATGTCAAAAAAAAAAAAAAAAAAAAAGAAGACATAGACAGTGGGCAGGACTCACTACCACATCATTAGTGGTGCTATTAGAATACCACTGTAGTGCTCTTAACTATTTTTCTTATTATTATTATTATTAGTGTGCATTAGCTGGCATGGAATAGCAAGTTTTGTCTCTCCCTCCCTCCTCTGCTTGTGTATATGAGAGAGAGTATAGCTTTGCCATTTTTTGCACTTAGGTTCAGAGTTATTGAATGCTTGTGTTGTTCTCTTTAATGGGTAGTTTGTTTGTCTGTCTGTATGGTACGTCTGTTTGTTTATCTTGTGATCCCTTAGTTCCTCCTAATCACTCTTTTTTTTTTTTTTCAAATTGTGTCACTTAGTGTTAAAAAGTCCTTGTTTTTCTTGTCTCTCCTCCTCTCTTGTCATATGATGATTTGTCTCACTTTTTATATTAACTTTTTTTAATTTTAACGATGTGATAATATATTAATTTTTTTTGATAGGATATGAAATAGAGGATGAGATAGATAATTAAAGAAAAATAATTAGGAGCTCTAATAAAAGAGTTCTAATGAACTATAATAGGAGTGGATTTTACTGTGATGTGATGTTTTGACCTTAGTTTTATTTTATTTTATTTTTTTATTCTTTGTCACATCATTAGAGCTCAATTAAAGTTCCAGAATTAAAAGAATGTATCATTATTCTTTTTTTTTTTCCCTTCTCTCTCATGCCTGGATCTCTCCTATTCAAAAACCCTTCTCTCTAATTTCAAAGTCCTCCACCTGTCAAGTTAATATAGATTTATCTTACAATAGACCAGTAGTTTGGAACATAAAGATACTCGCAAAGGCTCATTTTTTTTTGATACAGATGAAAGCAAACAAACAGAAGGAAAGAAAAACTGGGCAACAAGGGCTAAGCCCTCATGGCACCTACTCCAGTCATATCCTCAATAATAAGAGCTCTAACAGCTTCAGGGGGGTCTTCCAGCATGACCACATGGTCAGTTTGCACTACTCCAAGATTAGCCAGCCGATCAGCAACTCTGTTGCCTTCCCTCAGTGTGTGTCGAAGGGAACAATTGCAGCGCTTCAGTAGGAACTTGGTATCCTCAATGAGAGCTCGGAAAGGGGAATTATGGCTCGGACCACTGTGAAGTAAATCAATGGCCTGTGCTGCATCAGTCTCAATAACCACATTCAAAGTGCTTTTCTGGAAAAGGATGGTCAGTCCGCGATATATGGCCCATAATTGATTTGTAGTGAAAAATTTGAATTGGGAGTTGTGCAGCCGTAATTGTTGACTTTTGGTGAATAGTGTTAACTTTTTAACTTTTTGAGTAACTTTTTGACTTTTTAGCTTTTTTGGAACATCCCAAACTTGGCCTAAATATGAGTACATAATAAAAATGCAATACACTTCACAACACTACTGCCCGCAAATATCTAAACCAAACATTTTTACCTTCCCTAGTTGTGTTCCCCCATTATTCGTTAGAAGAATTTGTTATTTTAGTAGGCTATTTTACTTTTTGACTATTTTAATAGGTTAAAATTTGTGTGTTTAAAAAAATGGTTGAATTTTTTTTTGTAGTTTGATGTGATATTTGTGAGAAAAAAAGTAAAATAATTATGAATTTGATGTAACATTTTGTATTATTAACTATTTTAATCTATTTTGCCTTTTTTTTGTATATTTTAGCCAAAAAAAAAGAAGCCAAAAGTCTACTTGCCAAACAGCGCCACTCAAATGAACAAGGCCACTCAAATGAACAATTTCTGAATAGTTGATAAGATTAAGATTCCAGCATCTGCACCACAATAACTTTCATATGTTATCACTGAATCCAAGACACCAACACAACATAAATTGCTAAAACAATTTAGTACTGCATGGCTAGTAACAGTATTGAGAGTCAAAAAATATATACAAACCATTATAAACCTCTCATAAAGCTAAAGAAAAAACAACACATCTCATGTTCTTTTTAATTTAGATTTATCTTTTTATAGTTTGATGTGATATTTGTGAGAAAAAAAAAGTGAAATGATTATGAATTTAATGTAATATTTTGGCTTATTAACTATTTTAACCTATTTTGTCTTTTTTTTGGTACATTTTAGCCATGAAAAAAAAAAGAAGCCAAAAACCCATTTGCCAAACAGCGCCACTCAAATGAACAGTTTCTGAATAGTTTATAAGATTAAAATTCCAGCATCTGCACCACAATAACTCTTATATGTTATCACTGAATCCAAGACACAACACAACATGAATTGCTAAAACAATTTAGTACTGCATGGATAGTAACAGTATTGAGAGTCAAAAAATATATACATATAAACCTCTCATAAAGCTAAAGAAAAAACATCACATCTCATGTTCTTTTTAATCTCCGAAAAAAAAAGAGCATAAAAATAATCTTGTCTAGCGACTAAACAGCAATCTAATAGCTAAAATTACCATTAGTCTGAGACAAAATTCTAATTCCAACTGATCTAAATTAAAACAGTTGTAAAACAGATTCTAAGGTTAGCTCAAGCAGGATCGACATCCTTTTTGCTTGGAGCAAATGCTTGGCCTGTACCCCTTTTCCAGCATCTTCTCAACTTCCTCAAATGGCAATCCTTTCGTCTCCGGTACAAGGAAAAAGCTGTCCCTCCTCTGATGCCTCTGTATCTCAACGGGTATATCTCTGAGTTCACAATCCACGGTACTGTTTCCATCCCCGATGAGTACATTATGATGTACAATCCCAGAAGTAGGACTGCTAAAGCCCCGAATTTGGTTGGACAGCCCTTCGTGTACCATGTACGATGTTCTGTGCGGCAGGCATCTCTCGTAGCATCGCTTGCAGCCAAGCATGCTCCCGGAAGATACTGATGAAGGGGAAAGTACATTAGTAAAGTCGCAATTGGTAACGTTTATGGATTAGTGTTTACAAAACACGTTTATACTTATTTTTGGTGTGTATACATCGATGTGTTACAAAATTTTGTTTTGAAAACAAGTGAAAGCAGGTGTTTGCAGGTGGTTGTCGTTAGGGGATGGTGGCCGAAGGTCATTGCTAATCATCGGAGGTAGTGGCTATAGATCGTTTTCGGTGGAAAGATTGTTGCTGAAGGTGGTCTTCAGCGGTTGGTTGCATAAAGCCAGAAGTAGTTGCCGGATGTGATGGCCAAAGGTGGTTGCCGTTAACAAGAAAGAGGTGGTGGCCGGAGGTTGCTGACAGCGGTACTAGAGCGGGTTGCCGGCAACAGTGGCTTGATGTTGGAGGTGGCCGGATGTGGTGACTGCCAGTGGTGATAGGCTGGGGGGTGGTGGCAGGGTGAGAAAGGTAGGAATGAACAAAAAAACTTGTTTTCAAAACAAGCGAAAATAAATTTTTTTATTACAGCAATTTAATAAATCTTGTAAACTATTTAATAACTTTTTACAGTTTTTACTTAGAATTTTCAAAACTTCTGTAAATGTAAACAAAAAACTGTGAACATAAACAACTCAATGGTAATCAACATTTGTTAGGATGACAAAACATGAATGTTCAAATAGATTGATTCATTGAAGGAGTTGAAAGAAAAAAGAGGGCAATGAATCAAAACTCACTTTGTTAGGTGAATTAGCACAAAATGCAGAGTCTGATGCTGCTTTCAAACATTTCGTATAACTCCAAGATGATGCATCCTGTGTTGACAAATAACTTGAACACGTAGAGTTCCCGCCAAATCACGTGGATTCGAACCAACTAATTGGTGGAGAGTGAACAGAAGCTTGGAAGAACACAACCGATAAGGCCACGAGGCAGACAATGATCCCAATCATCAACAAAATCACCAACCTCCTCCTCCCATATCTGTCAACAGTAACCATACTAACAATTGAGCCTAGAGCATTAAGACCGGAAGTGATGAGAGAGAGAGCTAAAGCAGTCTTGTTTGAAGCGTAACCGGCCAGTTGAACTATGGTTGGACTGTAATACATGACAGTGTTTATACCCACAAATTGCTGAGCCACTTGAACTGTGATCCCTGTGTAGTTGAACTGTGATCCCTGCGTAGAGGCCTCTCCTAACCACATCGTTTTTCCAAGCACTCTTTATTTTTGAAAACATGCCATCCCCGATGGCAGCTTCCTCCACCTTTTCAGCTTCAACCGATGATTGTAAGGCTTTCATTTCTTCTTCAACTTCGTTAGCAGGGTAGATCTTCTCTAAGATGGCCTGGGTCTCGGGTACCTTATTCTGATTATCAATTCAAAGGACAAAACTGTTATCCAAATTGCATGAAACGGCAAGTCTGTTTATAAGTCCATCAAGGTTCAAACTAATGTACAGTATGTACATTCAAAACAAGAAAAAAGAAAAAAGAAATTGATGAGGAATTAAAAAAGAAAGAAGATGAGATCTTTCTTTTATCACTTAGGAGCCATGTGAGTTGAAAGTCTTATGCACGGTTTTGAATGAGATAAACAAGTGAGGAATTCTCTTTTTAACTCTGACTCTCCCAATCCAATGGTTGCTTGGATGGTGAGCAAAGGCAATTGAACACGATGTAATCAAACTTTTCATCACCCAACTCTGAACACGATGTAATCAAACTTCTGCCCATTTATGAAGTGGAAAAAGTAGGAATAGCATAAAATTGCATACTGATGTATTACCTGTCTATAGAGCCATCTAGGAGACTCAGGAAGTAACAGCATCAGTATAAACTGAACAAGAGCAGGAACACCGGCAACCCCTACCATCCATCTCCAGGTACCCGGTGCCTGAAACACATTCATTTGGAGGGATTAACATTAACACAATCAATAAATAAAAAAAAAGTGTTACAAAAATCAAAGGAGATAATCAATTTTCACGCCTTTGTGAATGCGAGGTTGATGAGATACGACAGGAACTGTCCTCCGGTGATCAGCAAACCATTTGTGCTGACAAGCGCTCCCTTAATTCTAGCAGGAGAAGCTTCTGAAATATAGAGAGGTGAGGTCACGGAAGCCATTCCAACTCCAAGACCTACAAGTATTCGTCCAATAATTATCACCCAGGGAGCTGGAGCAACAGCCATGACTATTGCACCGATAAAGAACAGAAAATCAGCCATAATAATCGATTTTCTCCTCCCGAACTTGTCGTTCATCCATCCACCAAAGACTGCGCCAATTATAGCTCCTGCAACTGCCATGCTCACAATGGTTTCCGGCAGATTGAGGAAGGTATACGATAAATCATCACATAAAAGAAAGATATGAATTGAGAATGATTTCAAGAGAGATCAATTGAAATGTGTAAGGAATTAACTTGCCTGTAGCCATGTCTTCCTATCAACAGATTTGAAGTCGTCCCGGATGTACAGCAGGGCACCAGAAATAACACCTACAACCCACAAAAGAATTCTAATGTAGAACATGCAGCTTAAGTATTTTTAGAACTTTGGGAGCAGCAAGAGTCAAAGCAGGATTGCAATGGGAACAAGGGTATAATGTCATTTTTCTATACTTGAAAAGTTTTGTTTTGTCAGTTACGTGGTCTAAAAGACTCCGATTTCACTAGTTTTTTTTTTCTCAAATGTTTCTTTAGAATTCTAGTACCAAATTTGAACTTGACACAAATTTAAACTTCTCTCCTATAAATAAGGATGTGACCCTTGATTGGGATTGCGGAAAATTCTTTTACTTTTCTTTTGAAATCAAGTTTGTTCGACTTGTGGATTCAAGAATCTCGTCTACCAGAACAATATCAAGCCTTTTTCCTTATTACCGCTGCATCAAATTCAGTGATTAAACAACACAAAAATGGTTTGGACTGTAACATGATTCAAAGTATTATATCAACTCATGCTACTTCAGTAATATGTGTATGCAACAGAGTGATTGCAGTGGGAGTGACAGTGAAGTCGGAAAAAGATTAAAAAAAAAAAAAAAAAGAAGTCTTCTAAGCTTAGTTCGTGTTACCATCCAAAAGAAAAAAATGAATGGAAAAACCTTGTATTACCGGTGTCATAACCAAATAGGAGCCCTCCAATGCTGGCTGATAGAGCAAGTCGCATTATGTATGGTGTTTTCCAACTTGTCCGCCAGCATTCTGTGAATTCTGTTTTATCCGGTTTGCCACCCCCTTCCATCTGATTCGGGTCTTTGAGATAAATTTATCACTGAACTTCTGCTCAAGAAATTTTTTTTGAAGAAGATAGAAGAACAATGCAGAAGAAATATTTGATGTATTAAATCAAGGTGAACCTGCAAGAAAAATTAAAGAGGGCATCACAGTATTGAAGCCTATACATCATTAGTGAGCAACATGATCAGCATATACAATAATCAGAAAATTGGATATGATCAATCACATAAAAACCAGTATCAAATTCTTTGTAAAACACATAATTGAATAAAATTATCGAATGTAACCATAGACGGAAATTCATTCCGATAAAAGAATAAAATAATAGATCAGATTATACATAAATAATATGGAAGAAGAATGAATTGTGCAGTAACTATTCCTTAAAATTCAACAAAAAATTAGGGAAAAAATAGAAAAACGAAAATCATTAAACACTTTGCTGGGAATTATGAAGAAGCATTCAATCAAAAAATATGTGGGCATGCATCTATAAACACAGATAATTTCTCCATTGTTAACCATACTCAATTCTCTTCAAAAAAAAATTTAAAAAAATCTCTGCACTGATTTTAGGCAAATCTCAATTCAGTTGCGATTAACAATACTTTTACAAGAATGGAATGAAATCAAACCCATCAAACAAGAAGTACAGTTTCTTTATCTAATTTAGATCATCCCAAAGTTTGTTGAATCTACAATGCAACCCATCAACACCATATAAACTATTTTGATCACATGCAACACAATCCAAAAACTAAAACAAAAGAAAAGAAAAATAGATAAGAGTGTTTTTCAAAGCAACAATTGCCTTGTTGAAATTTTACTTCCAAAAAAAAAAAAACACCCTTATGTGAAACTCCCTCTTTCTCCTCCTCCTCTGCTTCTTCCTCTCTGTTTTTTAGATTTACTCAAGCCCTTTACTCTTCTTATTATGATATATCTACACATATTTATTGAGATTTTTTTTTTTTTTTTATATATTTTGCAGTTAATGAGGATAAGACTTTGTTTGAATTTATGTTTGCGACCCACATCAGAATCAAGCAATTCCCTTGGAATCTATGATTGGACGGCCTGATTAACAGTCTGAGTGGTGGTTAGCCATAGCTGTCTTTGACTGTCTATTAACCAAATATGGAAATAATAATTAATGATAACATGTTGTACTCTTTTGTATAATTTTGATCTATTTGCTGCATCTATGTTCAAATTTAAGACTATCTATATATCAGTAGATAATAATTGTATCGCTAGTATTGATATGTATTCTGATACCATTCTTTAATGGTTATTTGGTTGGTTTTGTAGGCAGAGACGTAGCTTAGGTTCTTGAGGGAGCCGAGACAAGAAGCTTCTACGTCGAGTCCTTGAAGAGAGGTAATCTCATATGAGATGATTAAGTTTTAATATTTAGTATACTAGGAATTGTTCAGATTCCTGAGTCAACACATTTTGAAGCCCAGATGGTAAATGATAAGGGCATTGATGTGGTCACAAATGAAAGGGAAAGTCAAAGCAATCAGGATCTTGAACCCAGTAAGACAATCAAAGGTAAAGAGAGCAAGGGGGAAAAAAGGAAGATCCAGAGAAAATTAGTGATGAAATCTGGGTTTCAAAGAGGGGCCATCTTTAGAGCAGCTGCTGCTGCAATTTCTTTCTTCATCACTGTCTCGTAACAGCAGCTCAAGCAGTCAAAACAAACTACTTTCGGAGGCTCAAGCTACCATACAGCTTGGGAAATAGATTTCGAAGGCAAAGATGATGAAGTTATGAAGAAAATTATTGAAATGGAAGAGAAGGACATGGAGCAAGCTGCTGAAAAGAACAATGGTGTTGGGGCTTAGAATAGCATCAAGGGAGGCTCAAGAGTGTAAAATATTTTTTATGAAGACTCTTTCTTGGAACATTAGAGGGCTTGGTAGGCCTGAAAAGAGGAGGAAAGTCAAAGAAGCTATCAAAGATAGAAAAGTGGACATGGTGCTGTTACAGGAAATAAAAAAGGCAAATGTTTTAGAGCAGTTTGTGAAATCTATCTGGCCTCATGACCTAGTTGGCTATATGAATGTGGATGCGGATGGGAGTGCTGGAGGTCTGCTTTGTGTTTTGAAGCCTGAAATCTTCTCCTTAGCTAACTGCTGCTACAACAGGAACTTCATCTACTACTAGAAAAGGAAGTATTGGACACGAAACTTTTTGCGACGGTTAGGGTTTCAAAGAGGGGCCATCTTTAGAGCAGCTGCTGCTGCAATTTCTTTCTTCATCACTGTCTCGTAACAGCAGCTCAAGCAGTCAAAACAAACTACTTTCGGAGGCTCAAGCTACCATACAGCTTGGGAAATAGATTTCGAAGGCAAAGATGATGAAGTTATGAAGAAAATTATTGAAATGGAAGAGAAGGACATGGAGCAAGCTGCTGAAAAGAACAATGGTGTTGGGGCTTAGAATAGCATCAAGGGAGGCTCAAGAGTGAAAAATATTTTTTATGAAGACTCTTTCTTGGAACATTAGAGGGCTTGGTAGGCCTGAAAAGAGGAGGAAAGTCAAAGAAGCTATCAAAGAAAGAAAAGTGGACATGGTGCTGTTGCCGGAAATAAAAAAGGCAAATGTTTTAGAGCAGCTTGTGAAATCTATCTGGCCTCATGACCTAGTTGGCTACATGAATGTGGATGCGGATGGGAGTGCTGGAGGTCTGCTTTGTGTTTTGAAGCCTGAAATCTTCTCCTTAGCTAACTGCTGCCACAACAGGAACTTCATCCACTACTAGGAAAGGGAGTATTGGACATGAAACTTTTTGCGACGGTTTGAAAATCGTCGTGACGGTGAATGGCGCCGTCGTCAAATAAATTTTTTTGCGACGGAAACTTCAAGACCGTGGCAAAAAATAGTATTTTACTCGACGATTTCTCACCTGTCGTTTTTTTTTTTGGTTTTTTGCGATTGTTTATTTTGTTTTGCGACGCCATTTATTATTCCGTCGCAAAAACTTTTGTTTTTGCTTTCCGCACCTTCCTCTTTGCCCTATCTTCCATACCCTTTCAATATCCTCTTCTCAGATTAACCAAAAAGAGGGAAAAAAAAACCGTCTATCTTCTCCAGTCGCCATTCTCTATCTAACTAGAGCTCCCGGTCGTCACAACCCCAACAGTACTAGCGTGGGATGAGGTAACCCTCCTCTCCTCTCCTTTTCTTTCCTCTCACACGCGCTCGCACAGACCCTCAGAATCTCTCGCTCTCGCGTTAGGCTCACAGACTATCTTTAGCAGTGGCGGCAGCGACTTTCCACGGGTTCTCTCTCCGGCATCCAGGTATATCTCTTCTCTGCTCTCCTCTGCTTTCCTCTGCTGTTCTCTTCTCTTTTTCTCTTCTGTTGCCTTCATTGGAACCAAACCCTCTTCATTGGATTTAACCCTAAACACCAGTTTTAAAAATTAGGTTTTGATCTCAATTGAAAGGGGGAAACAAGTGGTTGTTCTGGATCTTTTGGATTTTCCCATCAAGTGTAATGTGGATATAACCTCACAAAGCGCCTAACCCAATCTCTGCAAGTATACGTTTTAATTAGACAAAGCCTCATGGTAGCTAAAGCTTCACATATTTTTCTGTAATATAAGCATTTTAATACTTAACAAAGATCAAAACTCTGAAACATGTAACAAATACTGTTAAAATAAATTGATGACTTAATAACAGAAAAATAATAAAATAAAAACATGCCCCTCTTGAAGTGGAGGAAATTGGGCGAATATTCTACCTGAAACTCCAACACTGAATCACTCAACACTAATAGAATTGGTGTTCCAATGCCAGTTCTCTAGTTAGGCCAGGTACTGTTGCATATTTTTCGTGTAATCTGAATGTTAACTCCTTGCCGTTTGTCTTACATGAAAATTTCATTTGAAATGTGATTTTGCGAGAGGTTATTAGAATTTAGCCAAATAGTTTTGGCCCAGTGAATTGAGATGATGCAATGAAGAAATATTTTATGCTTTTAAAATAGGAATTTTCTAGGAATTTTATGTCTATATCAAAATTGAGAACTTGGGGGAAGATGACAATCAGTAATCTTTTTCATTGAGTTAGTGTTAAATTTTCTAGAGGAAACAGAACATAGTAAGTATTTAATTACAAAATTTGTGGTTCCTTGAATTATTGTTAAATTTAGTTAGATTTAACAATAAGAAGAAGAATACAGAAGAAAAGAGAAATTATATGCTGGAATGGGAAGAGAGAGAGTGAATTAGGATTCTTTCCATCATCCTCTTGTTTTAATATTAAATTAGTAACTACAAATACACTTCCAAGTTTACATAACACGTGAATCGTGATACTTATCATGCCCAACTTGCAAATAATGGGGTGAAAATTCTTACTACCAAGCCTTTTAGTGAATACATCTTCTAACTGACATACAAATCAAAACCTTGCTCAACTTTTTCTTAATAAACTGTCTGTCAACTTCAATATTCTTGGTTCTATCGTGTTGAACTATATTATGAGCGATGTTGATGGAACCTTATTGAGAAAAACCATAAACAACATTTGAGAAATAAAAGAAACCCATAAAGCTTCATTTAAGTTCCAATTACCTCAGTTGCTGCCTCAACAGGCTCCTCATCAGGCCTTTCCATTTTCACTCCAACATCCTCCGTAGAGTAGTCACCATGGACCTCCATTAACTTGCCAAGATCAAACTTGGGAGCTTTCAAGATCTTGACTTTGCGAATGAAGACATTCTACAGCAGAGGGTAGATTTACACCCCTAATCACAATATAGATCTTTCAGTAAAACCTAGAGCCACATAAGCTCCCAAATTTCATGAGTCAAGCTGCCACGTAAGCTCACAATATAGATCTTTTAGTTTCTTGAAACTTCTGATTTTTAATGAAAAATTAAGTAGTTTTTCTCTTTTCAATGCATCTCAAATTATGAACAACTTTGCTTATATTCACAAATTTATATTTGTAATTGCAGTGCGTCAAGAGGAATTTGCTAAAATAATTCTCTTTTTTCTTGTTTGTTGGGTTCATTTAACAGTTTTTTTCTTATCAGTATTTTATTGACAACTTCTTGCAGAACCGATTACTTGCAATGAATTACATACATGAGAGAACCGATGATAACAAATGGGTTAAGAACAATTTTAAGTTGAAAGATTACTCAATTAATGATATTTGTGTCAATCTTTATCAAGTGAGGATTGGCAACTGAATCATAAAACTGAGGCAGTAGTGGGAGTGCTAGATGCTATTTTGTTCTGTTAATGCTGGTGCTATTTTCTTTTTATTGTTTTTTGTTGGTGTCTTGCCAACGTTTAGTGTGTCAACCTGGTTGAGATATGTTCCACTAGCAATGATGCAATGTTATCACCCAAGTACTAGATTTGACAACAATTCAAATTTGCAAACGTTATAAAAGCGGTTAGTGTTTCGATAATGATACTTCTCCAACTCCGTCAACATTCACGCATTCCATAGCTATCCCAAGCATGCAATTTCCAACACATTTTGTATTGAATAATTGCATACCATAGCAAATAATAAAGCCTTTTGTCTTGAGTACAATTCTGTAGCACAATAAATGTGGTCTTTAATGCTATCGACTATTCTCTTATCCCTTCTGTCTCTTTCTATCCATGCAGATGTAACAGCTTTAATAAAAGACCGTATTCTATCCTTTTACAATTGTTTGAGGAAAAACTAACCGAATAGTTACTAAAGCTAGACACAGCTTAGTTGGGCCAATTGTAGAAGACTTGCATAGTGCCTATCTAGGCCTATTCAATTGAGGAATAAAGGCTATTTCTCATGAATGATGGAAGACAACATGTTGCTGTCCTCCTCAAGTCTTTTGTTGGCCTTGGTTGGATTTTGTTCCACTTATTTTAAAGAAGCTCTTACTTCTGTATAGATTGTACCTTCTTTACTTGAGTAAGATATATGTGTGTGTGTATGTATATTATTCAGTTATTGGTTTGGGACCTTGAGCAAACTGACCCTGCAATCCATAGCCAAACAGCTTTTTTTTTTCTTTTTCTTTTTTGAAGTCAAACTTTGAACTGGGAGAAAAATAGAAGCACTGATGAACAGAGCCAAAACAAGCCAATCAGGTTTTGGTTTATATTCTAGCTTTCACCAAGAATATGTAGAATGTGGCCCTTGTAGAGGTCAATACTCTGATTTCTTTGGGTGAACTAACTCTTCAACTAATAACTGATATCACATATGACATATCAAGGCCATAGCTTTTAATTCAACGTAGTGGATTTTCTTAATTGCAACTTCAAACTGCACTTAAGTTCTCCATTTTTCTGAGTTCCCATTTGGGAACATATCAGCTGCATGCTATTTTTCTTTCCGCATTGGACAGTTGAACCTCACCTAATATAAACATATGAGTCTCCTTTCCCTTCCAAAGACGAGGCTTATTTTTAAGGAGATAACTTTACAAATGTTGGCAACCAGTATGCTGCTGCTGAATGAGAGTTGTGGAACTTGCTATAATGGCCAAGCAAATTGACTGTATGATCATAGTCTAGGTGAGTGCAATTTCTGTGAGCTGCTCCAAAATTTGGTCATAATCCTATAGCTTACCTCCAACTTGAGAATCAATATGAGACATGCCCTTAGAATCTCCCATGAGTTGATTGATTCTTCCTTCACTTGTAAAAGTTTTGACTAAATTTTTCTAATTTTTAAAATTGTATAGTCGAAAAATGGACCTAAAAAGTACATAGATAAATTTTTTTTTTTTACTAAAAAAGAAAGAGAATATTTTGGTCTTATCACAAAAGAATTAAATTCATGCCAAGCAAACATTCATTACTTGTTTTGATTTCTATGCAAGTGGAGGTAGTTGGCTTCATTTAATACATTCTAACTAGTGCCACTTGTCAACAAAACCCCTCTAAAAAATTAGTAAAATGGTAAAAGCTTGGCACTAAGAGTGAGAACAAGGGTTTGAGTACAAGTGCAGCTGGGTAGGCACTCTGCAATTAATGCTAAAGGATAGGTCTATGATTAGTTCACCTCTTGCAGCTCTGTCCATCAGTATTGACCAGAAGAACTAGGAATGGCCTGTTGTATGGATCATCTTGAGTGGCCTAACTGTCATTATTATGAACTAGTAAAACCTGCTTCATGGTTAAAAATTCTTCTGCATGGTTTTTAATTCTTGAATGTTATGGAAGTGTAAGCCTACATTGTTGTTTTATCAGACGTGCAGAATGTTCGTGTAAATTTCATTTTCTGATGTGTATTCTTTTTGTAGGATTTCTGATCTGAAAAGTGAATGCAGCTATGATGAATCAAGAGTTAATAGATAATGGAAATCGGACGATGGATGAGGCTGATCAAGCCATTGATAGGTCAAAAAAGGTTAGTATATCTATTCTGCTCCAGTCAACTCAACAAGCCTTATGCCAATTGCCTTTGGTTGCTTCGTATGTCTATCTTCTCCAGCTAACTCTATGTAAAACTATATATTGATTCTCTTTTCTCCTAAAGACTTAAAAAGTCCAAACTTGGCTTGACCCACATGTAATTGTTTTGGAGCCTTCAATTTGATTCGAGTCACTCTTTTATGCCTATGCATTAGTTAACCTACAATGCACAAGGGCAAAGCCATCTCAAATGGCATTCCCCCACTTTATCTTCAATCTGTGTCACTACTAACATAATTTGATTTTAAGTTTTATGTTGGCTTTTTGCTTACCGCAACCCTCTTCCCCCTCTCCGGGCTTGGGATGGGTTTTCTAAAATTGCATCGGTAGCCCCCTCATTCACCCATGTGTCTCACAGTGACACATGTGAGAAAAGGCTTTGGATTAGCCCTCTCCTTTCTTTATTATTGATATACTTAGCCTTTTCCTTTTTTACTTTTGATGATAGGCTGGCAAGTTAACCAGAGTTAGTTAACTTTTGCTACATATTGTTGAAACACCTACATTTGGCAATGCCCAGAAAGCTAGCACGTATCTAAAAGTATGCATTTGTTATCTCTGTCTTGATATTCTAAGTTACAATTAAAAATGATAAAAAAGAAAGTTATGTTGCGAATAATTGTAGCTGACCTATCTGAAGACTAAAATTTTCTCAACTTGTGTGATGAACTTGTCTGTGGTTAGAGGTGCTCGTGGATAACAATTGTTCTAGTTTACATTTTTTATTTTTCTGTGTCACATCATATTCCTGCTAATGGACCTCCAGTTTTTAAATTTGTTTGGCACATATTTGTTTGGTAGTGCTAGCAACATCATCCTGTCAATCTCATTTGGTTTTGGGTCTTGGAAGCAATTTGGTGTGGAATTAAAAAGAAATAAATAAATGATGATGGTTTTTCTAAATTAGTGACTCTCACAAATGTGCCCCACCAAGAGAGAAAGAGGGGGAGAAGGCGGTGGCAGAATTACTTGTAAATCTTCAAAAGCTAATTTTCCAGGTTCTCTGTTTTTGTAATAGGTTGTCCATGACACAGTTAACGTTGGAATCGATACTGCAGCAGCTCTGAAGGCGCAGGTACATTGTTAAGACTAATTTGAGAAAGAAAGTTGACAGCTTCTAAAATTTAGGTGTGAGAACTGAAGCATCATGCTTCTTTTATGTTTAGACTGAACAAATGAGTGGAATTATTAATGAGTTGGACGCTATCCATTTCTCGATCAAGAAGGCTTCTAAACTGGTGAAGGAAATTGGTAGGCAGGTCAATCTCTAAATTATTCACATCTCTCTTCTATGATGTAATTAATTATATTGTAAATGATTTATTTATTTTTTTGATTTTCTTTTTGAAGATGTAACCCTTTTGAGTACGTGATAATATTTTCGCATATCGATATTGGAGCTTACAATCTTATTTATGTATTTCTTTATTTATTGAAATAAATATCCAATGTTTTACATTTTCTGTAAGCTTGAAATTAATTATATTGTAAATGTTTTTTCTTTTTTGGTATTTTTTTGCAGATGCAACCCTTTTGAGTACGTGATGATATCTTCACGTGTCGATATGGAAACTTACAATCTTTTTTGTACTTATTTATTTTTTGAAATAAATATTAAATATTTTACATTTTCTGTAAGCTTGAAATTAATCATATTGTAAATGATGTTTTTTTTGTGTGTGTGTGTTTTTTTTTTGTGTGCAGATGCAACCTCTTTTAAGTACGTGATGATATGTTTGCATATCGATATTGGAGCTTATGTTGATATTAAAACAAACTATGATATATAAGTTTTTTTATTTGTATTGTCGATACTTTTGTTTTGCTTTCGATACAAAAATTTAAGTTCTTGAATATAAAAAATTATTAGTATTGTTGGAAGATGTTTTATATATTTTTGTAAAGAATATTTGGTTGACAATTGTTATAGGGTATATATATATATATATATATGTATGATTTTGTGAATGTGAATGTAAATGTGGATGTGGATGTATTTTATTTTAGAAAATATTAATAATTTGTACAGGGCATAAATTAATAAAATATATATTGATTTTATGAAAACAATTTTATTGCGACAATAATAACCGTCGCTAATGTAATCATTATTTCCTTATATTTTATTAGTGACGGGTTAACCTGTAGTATATACATATTAGTTCAAATCATTAGTGACGGTTTAAACTGTGGCAAATATGGTATTAATTTAATTTTACTTTTTGCGACGTTTTAGACCGCCGCTAATAATACTTTTTGCGACGTCAAATACCGTCGCTAAAAAAGTTTTGGCGACGGCAACCAACATCGTCACTAAAAGTGAAGTTTTTCCCTCTTTTTTTTTGTGTCAGGAGAAATCGTCGCAAAAACTATTGATTAGTCGTCGCTACAAGAAAGCGACGGTTTGTAACCGTCGCAAATATTTTTTGTCACGCCCCCTTCTGCCACCCCCCATTTCCCGTCGCTACTTCGTCGCAAAAAGTCTTTTATGACGATATATGGACCTTTTGCGATGTGTGAGACCATCGCAAAAAGTTCGATTTTTAGTAGTGATCATATTATCAAGTACCTTATTTAATAGTTTGGAGTGTGTGATTGTGAATGTGTATGCACCCAATATGTGATTGATAGGAGAAATTTATGGGCATCTTTGATCAATATTAAGGTTGTTTTCCCCAAACCTTGGTGTATAGGAGGGGACTTTAATGAAATAAAATCACTAGATGAAAGGAAAGGTTGTGTAAGAAGGGATATGAGAATGGCAGATTTTGGTAACTTCATAAGTAGCTTGGAATTGATTGATGTACCTATGTTGGGAAGGAAATATACATGGTGTAATTCAGTGGAAGGTGAGAGATGGAGCAGGTTAGACAGGTTCCTTGTTAGCCCAGAATGGTTGGAATGGTTTAGATACAAACTCTGGACCTACTTAGATCCATCTCAGATCACTATCCAATTATCCTGATGGAGGATGAGAGAAATTGGGCCCCAAAGCCTTTTAGATTCATCAATGCATGGGCATCTCAACCTTTTTTCATTAATGAAGTGAAAAAAGTGTGGGAGGGTACTTTGGTAGATGGTTGGGCAGGTTACAAACTAAAAACCAAACTAAAGGCACTTAAACAAGCTTTAAAGAAGTGGAACATTGAAGTGTTTGGGAATATGGACTCTAAACTGAAACAAGCTAAAGAAAAATTACATGCCCTGGATTTAATTGCTAAGAGTAGAAATCTGGATGAAGATGAAGGTAGGAGGAGAAGAGAGGTGACGAGAGAAGTTGTTCGGGAATTTTTCAAAAATGGATTTTCAAATTTATTGTTTAGTTTTGGGTGTTTTTCAAAACCTTCCATGTTTTTCTTTGGAAAGCATGAAACAAGCTTGGAGACTTTGTCCTACATTGGAAAGAGAGCAAAACATGGAGCACTTAATAAAATGCTACATGGAATATTCCTTTGAATATGATATTATGGGATGGATGCTAGTGTACATGCACTCACACCTCAAGAATGGTGCTTTGCACCATCCGCACACACGTTCGCGTATGGCGTGGTCAGTGGGCTGTGTGGCGTTTGATGGTGCACTTTGCACAGTATGCTGGTACATTTGCTTCTTATCTCAGTGCGTCTCGCGCCATATTTGATTATGATAAACATCACAAAGCCCACCTGGGGCACGTCTCGATTGATTTATTTCGAAAACAACCTAGGTCTCATAAGAGCCCTGTAGAATCTCCCAAGCATGGTTGATCTTTATGCCTGTGACCTGAAAAAGCTTTCTGAGTCGCTCAGAGGTAATACATTCCCTTTCCTTCAAGTAAATCTAACCGAGCCCAAGCTAACAACAGCCCGATCCTTGCTGGATCTTATATAGCAAGAGTAGTCTTACTCAACCAAAGATGCTCCCTTCCCTCTTCCCTTAGAGATTTAGCTTCGAAGCAGTAAGCTCTGTGCTCTTATTCTTTCGACCAATACAAGCCTGAAACCACCTCCAACCCCTAATTATAATTATACGCCGACCCGCTTGCTTGCCCATATCAAAGAAAGGAGCTTCGGTCTCGCTTGTTGCCTCCTGGAATGCAGGATACTTACCCTATTATCTTGCTTAGTAGAGGAACGATGTGCGCTAACCTTCTAACCATATTGGTATCTGACTCTTGAAAAAACATTTCACGCAGGTCCGTCTATCATTATTTATATGTAATTGTTCATTCGCTTGACCTAAAAGTTCGGTTATGAAACCCACCCCTTTATTAGTATTAGTAAGCCTTTGCAGGAAAGCACTTAATAGTGTGGTAAACAAAACCCCGCCGACATTGGCTATCACCTTTCAGCACCGCTAAGATCACCAATAGATAAATGGGAAATCAGCTCTCTTGAGTCTGCGGAAGTGTAGTTGTCACTTTATCTTAATAGGTTTAGCTAGCGGGAGGGGAGGGGGGTTAAGGGGGAATATCCGCTAGTCAAGCTGAAGCTCATATATGAATTGGTGAAGTTCGCCACGAAGAAGAGCCATCTTTGCTTTCTAACAAAACTCTAAAAGTCGCGAAATGGAGGATCGAAGACCTCAGCTGAGAAAGAGCATTCGGCTAATGATGTGACAAAAGGGGTCGGGATTTCAAGCAACCAACTGGCTTTAACGAAGAAAGACACAACCATTATTACTTACGATAGAGTGCCCCAGTTCCCAGAGATTCGTTAAAAGAGGAGGTGTGACCGAGATTAAATAGAAGAAAAGGTTGTGCTAATGAGATAGGACGAGAGTGGCAATGCGTCATGTGATGCTTCAGTTGTAAGCCTTGTCGGAGCCTTAAGAGTGGAAATTCTGGCTTTATTGTTGTACGATGATCTCAAAATCATCCCTTGAAAGCCTAATAGGGGACTTGCCCCTTCTATAATCTTTTCCTGGATAGCTGGATAGAGAGTGCGTTTGCGTGTCTATTGGTCTTGCTAGATGAGATGAGGCATACTTGGCCCCTTAACCATTGCCACTTTCTTTGTTTGCTGTGTTGTGGAAAGGTAAAAAGTCGAAGGAAAATGACACTAGTTAACCAACAGAGAGAGAGAAGGCCACAAAGAGTACATTCCTCGCTCGAGACCGAGACATAATAGAATTCGATTATGCCTTAATTATCTTATATGCCGAGTCCATGCAGTCTCACTTTGCTTTCTATAGATTTTTAGTCTCAAATAGCTTGATCGGTCGAATGACCAGAAGGGGCTTGCTAAAATCACCGCCTTTGTTCGGTAGTTCGGTTCAGTTCTTAGCATAGGATACGGCGTTCCTTTCTTAATTCATAAGAGGGGGAGTTTCCCTTTATACTGAATTTAATTAAGAAATAAAGACGCGGTAGAAAAAAAAGCACCAATCAGTCAAGCTCGTGGCGCGTAGTGCAACATAGTTCTCCTAACTTGGAGGGCGGAAAGCATGCTGGTACATTTGCTTCTTATCTCTGTGCGTCTCGCGCCATATTTGATTATGATAAACATCACAAAGCCCACCCGGGGCGCGTCTCGTTTGATTTATTTCGAAAACAACCTAGGTCTCATAAGAGCCCCCGTAGAATCTCCCAAGCATGGTTGATCTTTACGCCTGTGACCTGAAAAAGCTTTCTGAGTCGCTCAGCGGTAATATATTCCCTTTCCTTCAAGTAAATCTAACCGAGCCCAAGCTAACA